TTGAGCTGAAGAGCTGAGGGACAGCGCCCAGGCCCAGAGTTCAGGCCCCACAACCAGACCCCAAAAAAAAAAAGCTGGACTTGGAGTTGTGGCTCAAGGTAGAGCTCCAGCCTTGAGCAGAAAAAGCTAAGCAAGAGTACAAGACCCTGAGTTCAAGATCTCACACACATACACACACAATTCATAAACATGACTAGCTTACGTTCATGCCTGTCTACCAAATGGACAGGAACTTGCCCTATTGCCTTCCCTTTAACTGTTCTTTTTGTTGGTGGTGGTGGTTGTGTGGCTTTAGCTTGAGCCTGTGTGCTGTCTCTGAGCTCTTTTGCTCAAGGTTAATGCTCAACCACTTTGAATCACGAGTCCACTCTGGTTTTTTGGTGGTTAATTGAAGAGTCTCATAGACTTTCTTGCCTGGCCAATTTTTTGTTTGTTTTTGTTGGTCTTGGAGCTTGAACTCTGGGCTTGAGTGCCGTCTCTCAGCTCTTCAGCTCAAGGCAAGCACTCTACCGGAGCACTCTACCACTTGAGCCACAGCACCACTTCTGGTTTTTCAGTGGTTTGAGATAAGAGTCTCATGGACTTTCCTGCCCAGGCTGGCTTTGAATCACCATCCTCAGATCTCAGCCTCCTGAATAGCTAGGATTACAGGCATGAGCCACTGGCACCTGGCAAATTGTTTCTTTAGGTATAGGCACAACCCCAAGTTTCCATGCTTTTGCTCAAGATACTACCCAAAATCACATCAGCTCAATCCTGTTTCTCTACCTGGTCACTACAGAAAAACTCCACTATCATACCCTCCCCCCATTTTAGAGGACCTGAACAACTTAGCAAGAAGATAATGATCTACCAACCTCCATTCTATTCTCTCTTTGTCTTCGATATGAGCATATGTCGTACATGAAATGCCAGGTTTTAGTGAAAGGAATCTAAACAGTACTGTTGGCTTACCCTCTAAACCTAGCTACTCAGGAAGCTGAGATCTGAGGATGGCTGTTAGAAGCCAGCAGGGCAGAAAAGTCCATGTGGTGCTTATTGCCAAAAGAAAGCTGGAAGTAGAGGTGTGACTCCATTGGTAGAGTGCTAGACTTGAAAATAAAAGCTCAGTGACGGGGCTGGGAAGGTGGCTCCGTGGCAGAGCGCTTGCCTTGCATGCCTGAGGCCCTGGGTTCGATTCCTCAGCACCACATAAGAAAAAAGCCAGAAGTGGCGCTGTGGCTCAAGTGGTAGAGCGCTAGCCTTGAGTTGAAGAGCTGAGGGACAGCGCCCAGGCCTACAGTTCAGGCCCCATGACCGGACCCTCCCCCCCCCCAAAAAAAAGCTCAGTGACAGCACTTGCCTTGAGTTTAATGGCCAGAACTGGCCACACACACACACACACACACACACACACACACACATACACACACCACGCATGCACTCATGCAAAAAGCCATACAAAAAAAATTAAAGAGTTGATATAGAGAATGCTGGATGATGACCTATGAATCTTGGGTTCTTGTAAATGGTGATATAAATGGGTATGGAATATGGCAAGCTTAATCATGACATTTCTAAGGCTGATTATAGGGAAGTCCTTGCTCCCCTAATTCATATCCTACTTGCGATTATTTCTCTGCTCACACTCATAAAACTCCTCTCCAAAGTTACTTGTACTGTCTCTCCTTCCTTATTCCCAATACTAACAATTCCTATTTCACCTGGATTTTCATCTGTACTAACCCATTTAGGATTTTCAATGTATCTTTCTGGCCAAATGTCCTAATGATTTCTTAGCAGGAATGTGACACAATCCTCCTTCTTCATTTTGCTTTTCACTCAGGGACAGGATACTATCCTTTAAAACTTTTTCACTCAAAGATGGCACTCTAACATTTGAGCCACAGCTCCACTTTTGGCTTTTGGTAGTTATTTGGAGATGACAGTCTCCAAGACTTTTCTGTTTAGGCTGGCTTTGAACAATGTTCCCCAGATCTCAGCCTCCTGGGTGGTAAGGATCAGTCCCAGGCATGCAGCTCTCAGTACTTATTTGCTCAAATTTGTCTTTAGATTCTATCATGGAACCATTTCATGAGCCCAGTGGCTTTTGGATTGCTTTTTACATACACTCCATGTCAGAGAAAAAAGCAAATGTTCATTTCTGTGTGCTCTCGGGTTAGAGCTGCTCTGGGGTAACAAAGATGCTCAAGTAAACACTACCAGGCAACATCTTACTTGGCCTCTGTTTAAGAAGAAAAGACATGTAACTTCAACCTAATTTCTTAGACGTCTTCAGGGTATTTCCTTCCAAATACTAGCACCATACTGCTACCATATAAATATTTTTCTTATTTATTGTTTAACTGTCCCTCTTAGGAATGCCTTTTGTTAGGGGTAAGATGTCTTACTTAGAAATTTTAACAGGGCACATTATAACATTTTACTAAGCAAAAGATGCTTCTTTTCCCACAAAAGCCAAGAAGAGAGCACAAGTGTTACTAACATTTTCTATTTATTAAGAAAAAGTGCATAGTACAAGCCCTTTATCCCAATCCAATTGCTCAGTAAAAGATTAACATTAACCTTGGATGGCACAGACATGATTTGTTTGGCATGATTTAGGACATTTAAAAACAGCAACTTACATTTACTACATCACATGACCACTTTTATTTTTAACAAAGTAATCATCAGTCATAACAAATACATAGGATTTTTCATTGGGAAATATTAGACTAACCCTACTATTGCAGCAACAAACTTTTACCCATCAACTGTAAACTCGTTTCTCCTCCAAAATCGTTTTGTGTCTTAAACTGAGTGGGTCTAAATTTACTTTAATTTAGAGTATTGGACTTTTATTTAGAATGCTAGATTTCCAAGGTTCTTTGAAATATGAGGAAACTAATGAACACCAATCACATCATAAAACACTAAATGTAACCATGGAACAGCTATGTTGGACTTGCTGACCATCAAATAGTGCTTAGATACATGATCAAATCTTTTCTTACAAACAGTTCCCATGTTAACCTTTTCCATATAAAACAAAACTACCGTTACTCTGTATAAAAAGAACATTAAGTGACTAAAACAAACGCATTGGAATGTTTAAGACTCTCAAAATGAAAAAAAATGTAAGCTCTCTTTTATTTAGAATATTTTAAAAGGATCAAAGCCACGGTTCAAGTGAAGGTTGTTTACAAGCCTAGTAATGATATAAGAATGTGCTCAGTTAAAAGGCCACGTGTAGATGCTTGAAGAATTAAACAGAATATAAATGACTAGTTATGTTAATTTTCTGTGCACTACACTTTATATTTTCAGAAATGCAGGGAAATTTGGCTCTTTTTTTCTGTCGTGGGGCTTGAACTCTGGGCTTGGGCATTGTCTCTCAGCATTTCAGTTTAAGGCTAGCACTCTGCCACTTGAGCCACCACACCGCTTCCACTTTCTAGTGGTTTATTGCATATACGAGTCTCACCACAGACTTTCTTGCCTGGGCTGGCTTGGAACCCTGATCCTCAGATCTCAGTGTCCTGAGTAGCTTAGGACTAAAGGTGTGAGCCACTGGCAACTGGCTGTAGGGAAATTTTACAAGCAAAAAAAAACAAGAGTAAACCAAGCCTCAGTGGCTTACACCTGCAATCCTAGCTTCTAAGAAGGCTGAGATCTGGGGACCCTGGATTGAAACCAGCCTTGAGGAAGGAAAGTCTGTGAGACTCTGACCACTTTTTAAAAAGCTCAGGGACAGCACCTAGGCTGCAGGCCCCAAAATGCAAACCAAAAAAATAAAAAAGGGTAAATACTTCACAAAGAACCTCTAATACAAGCTTAGTAGAAGTTTCATATAAGGCAAATATATTAAGATGTAATGTCAAATATGTGACAGAAATGAACTAGGTCAGTGTGGTGGCACATGCCTATAATCCTAGCACTAGGAGGGCTAAGACAGGAGGATCAGAAGCATGAGGCTAGCCTGGGCTACACAGTAAGTCTCTGTCTAAAAAGAAAAACAAAGAGCTAGAAACAAGAATTTAAAATTTTAGGTCTCTAAGACTAGACATTCTGTGGCCAGAATATGGATCCTTTCTTTTCTTTTTTTTGCAGTGCTGGTGATGGAACCCAGGGCCTTACACATGCTAGGCAAGTGATCTAGCATTGAGCCATATCCTCAGCCTCAGACACTTCTTCAGCAAATGCCAATTCGCAATTATTTGTGAGCACAGATACAGTGCACACATGAGCATTTCTGCCAGGGACTGGTATTCTACCTAGGTAGAGAGCAAACTATTAGGATATGTGCACAGATTTCCAAGTTCAAGTAGCAGGGCAGGAAAAGGAATGCTACAGGGATTTAGCTCCATCTAATCCATTCCAGTGTTATTCTTTTTTTTTGGCGGGGGGAGGGGGGTCTGGTCGTGGGGCCTGAACTCTGGGCCTGGGCACTGTCCCTCAGCTCTTCAGCTCAAGGCTAGCACTCTACCACTTGAGCCACAGCACCACTTCCCGCTTTTTTTTCTTTTTGCTTATGTGGTGCTGAGGAATCGAAACCAGGGCCTCATGCATGCAGACAAGCGCTCTACCACTAAGCCACCTTCCCAGCCCCTCTAGTGTTATTCTTTAAAGAATTGTTTTCTCCTCCATCCTCAGGAGGAGTGAGAGCTCTAAGGCTAATGTTTGGAACTTACTACCTAACCTAGGCCATCCTTGAATTCTGGATCCTCCTGCCCCCACCAACCAAGCACTAGGAGGTTTCTTGTAGTCAGAGTCTTGAGCCATCATATGCAGCTTCTCCTTTAAATTCTTCACCAGCTACAGAGGCAGAGGTCTTCCAAGTGGACCACAACAAGAAAAACCTCTACTACATGGTATTTATTTGTTTAGGATTTAACTTACCTGTGTTATATTACCTCTTTATTAGTACAATTAAGAGTTGGGTATATAATTTCAAGAAATTGAACACCAAGTTGAGATACACAGAAGAATTCAGGCAGTCAGTATTGGATTATGTAATGAAATGATGTCCTTTAACAATGTTATGGCCTCTGATGTAATCATCATAAAGGAGACAGTCACTCTATTGGGACAGAGACTGTTGAACAGTACAGTGATATAAGGTTTATTTAATTCACACAAATAATTTTGCAGATCTACATATTAAAAGCCTAGACTGCCTGGGCAGAAAATCCTTATGTTGGCAGCAAAGAATGTTCTAGCCCCCCATAAATACTCTCTGGTTACTTGCTAGAGAAAAAATTCTGTAGTTTTGAACTGAGCAAAATAATGCAATCTGTTCCTTTTTTATACATATCAAGATTTCTCTTATATCAGTGTTGCTTCCCACCCTGGTACATCCCCATTACCCAAAAGAAATGAAGGGTGACAGAAAAAGATTTCTGATTGTTTCTCATGGGTCCCTTGGAATAAACCAATAGTTCATTTTTTTTAACATAACAGAAGCCTCAAAATTTTTCTTCAAATAATGTGAACAACAAGGCATTTAAATGTAAGTAACTCAGCAGTTTCCAATATAGATGTAAAATGGTTTCATTCTAAAGAAAGAAGTGTTAGAACAGAGCTTCCTGAGAGGTACATTTAAAAAATAAATGATTGCTTAAATTATTACTGGATAGATTATACCTGGCCAAGGCAAAAAGAGTGAATTTGTCCTCATTTCAGGAACCTTATAAGGTTAGTCTCTAGTGGCTTCCAAGCATCATATAACGGACTGTAAGTCAACCACCACATTGATGAAATCATGTTTGCTTATTCTGAACATCAGACATTTTTATTAGGAGTAGAAAATTAGTAAACAACCATTTTACTTCCCTATTCTAGCCACTTAAGTCAGCCATAATGAGTGACCCAGATTTCAGCTGGAGCTTGTAAAATGCTCCAAGAGTTGCCACCCACAAATCACCTACCAAGGCAAATGCAAATGCAATGTGGTTCTAATTGTCTTCCATAATCCCAAATAACATGACTTTATAAATGCCTTCTGAAAAAAAAAGTAAACCTATCAAAACTCTCTAAATAGTAAATGTGAAATCTCAAATTTCCTTCAATTATGTCAAAAATCACCACAAAAATTACAATCACAATTACAAACAGAATGAATGGAATATTTAAATTTAGGACAACCAAAAAAGCCCCATGTAACTTTTTTTTAATATAATTATTTACTCAAATATACTGTAAATAGGAATGGTGATAACACAGGAAGCAAAAGTTTGCAAGTAAAGTTTCTAGAAGCTCATGAAAACAATACCATCCCAAATTGCAGGTGCAAAAGGAAAAACAGTTCTAATGGGGTTAAGAGTACTCTGGTGGTCTTGTTCATTTGGTCGTGCAAATTGTTTTGCTTCCCATATCACAAAATTAGTCCACAGGAGGAGCTGGTGGATCTTGTCCCTGGCATTTAAAAAAAAAAAAAAAGGAGAGAGAGACCTCAAGTCAATCTAACAAATAAAAGAACTGGGAAGAAATTCCACTCCCTAAACTTACTTGGATTTTTCACATGTTTGGGTTTTTTTGTCGGTCATGGGGCTTGAACTCTGGGCCCTGAGTGCTGTCCCTAAGCTCTTCAGCTCAAGGAGAGTGCTCTACCATTTAAATACAGGATCACTTCTGTTTTTTTCTGGTGGTTCATTGGATATAAGAGTCTCATGACTTTTCTGCCCAGGCTGGCTTTGAACTGTGATCCTCAGATCTCAGCCTCAGTAACTAGGATTACAGGCGTGAGCTACCGACACCCAGCCTCATGTTTTTATATAAGGGATAAGTAAGTGAACAATGGTTTTGCAACATTTTTCTCATTGCACCCTGTGGCATAGAAGAAAAGAGAAATTGTGCAACAGTGATGTGACTATCCCCACCAGCTGTTAACGGTTTCATTCCTTTGGCTGAGGTGACTGGTTTAGTGAACAGCACACAGAGGACAGCCTGGATCTGTTTCTTTCTCACTATAGAAAAGTCAGTGAGGGGGCTGGGAAGATGGCTCAGTGGTAGAGTGCTTGCCTTGCAATGCATGAGGCCCTGGGTTCGATTCCTCAGTACCACATAAGCAAAAAGAAAAAAGCCAGAAGTGGCGCTGTGGCTCAAGTGGTAGAGCACTAGCCGTGAGCTGAAGAGCTGAGGGACAGTGCCCAGGCCCAGAGTTCAGGTCCCACAACCGGGCCCCTCCCCCCCCCAAAAAAAAGAAAAGTCAGTGAGGGCTGGGAAGGTGGCTCAGTGGTAGAGCGCTTGTCTTGCATGCTTGAGGCCCTGGGTTGGATTCCTCAGCACCACATAAGCAAAAAAGAAAAAAGCCAGAAGTGGCGCTGTGACTCAAATGGTCTTGAGCTGAAGAGCTGAGGGACAGCGCCCAGGCCCAGAGTTCAGGCCCCACGACCAGACCCCCCCAAAAAAAAAAAGTCAGTGAGAGCCTGGCGCCGGTAGCTCACACCTATAATCCTAGCTACTCAGCAGGCTGAGATCTGAGGATAGCAGTTCAAAGCCAGCCCAGGCAGGAAAGTCCATGAGACTCTTATCTCCAATGAACCACCAGAAAACCAGAAGTGGCACTGTAGCTCAAGTGGTAGAGCGCTAACCTTGAGCTGAAGAGTGCAGGCACAGTGCCCAGGCCTAGAGTTCAAGCCCCACGACCAACAAAAAAAGAAAAGAAAAGTCAGTGAGGAGCCAGGTGTTTGAAGCCAGCATGGGTTGTAAGACTCATATCTAATTAACCACTAGAAAACTAGAAGTGGCTCTGTGGCTCAAAGTGGCAGAGCAGTAGCCTTGAGCTCAAAAGCTTAGGCAGGGGGGTGGGAAGGTGACTCAGTGGTAGAGCGCTTGCCTTGCATGCATGAGGCCCTGGGTTCGATTTCTCAGCAGCACATAAGCAGAAAAAAAAAAGGGCGGAAGTGGTGCTAGCCTTGAGCTGAAGAGCTGAGGGACAGCGCCCAGGCCCAGAGTTCAGACCCACGAGTGGACACCCCCCGCACCCCCAAAAAAAGCTTAGGCAGTGCCCAGGCTCTAAGTTCAAGACCATTGTCTGACAAAAAAAAAAAAGAAGAAGAAGAAGAAACAAAGAAAGGGAAGAGAAAGAAAGAAAGGGGAGAAAGCAAAGTCAGTGAGAAGCATATGGCTCAGCTACTTCTGTAGCCATTTCAGACCAAGAAGGAAGCCCGCTTTGGAAAGAAGCTGATGGAACAAAGAAACTTGGATTTTTGATAATACAGCTAATAGTTTGTTGTATTGTTTTGTCTCAGACAATTTTTGGGGGGGTTAGTCTTGGAGCTTGCTGAACTCAGGGGCATGGGTACAGCTGACCCTGAGCTTTTCTGCTCAAGGTTAATGCTCTAAACTTGGAGCCACAGATCCATTTCTGGTTTTCTGGTGATTAATTTTGTGGTGGAGGTAAGAGTCTCACAGGCTTTCCTGCCCAAGCTGGCTTCAAGCAGAAATCCTAAAATCTCAGCCTCCTAAGGAGCTAGGATTACAGGTATGAGCAACCAGCAGCCAGCTCTGAGACAATCTTGCTATATAGCCCAACCTAGCCTCAAAATGTATGATCCTTATACCTTTGCCTCCAAGTACTGGGACTACAGGTATGTGCCACTATGCCTCTTTTGACACTGTTAGAACTGTCTAACCTTGTGAAGGCTAAAATGTTTGTGACTTTAGCTAAGTATCACTATCCCATAATATTGTGAAGTTTATATAATCACTTAATAAAGAAACTTTTATTTTATTTTTTTTATTATTTTTTTTGTCAGTCATGGGCCTGAACTCTGGGCCTGGGTGCTGTTCCTCAGCTCTTCAGCTCAAGGCTAGAGCTTGACCACTTGAGCCACAGCACCACTTCTGGCTTTTTCTGCTTATGTGGTGCTGAGGAATTGAACCCAGGGCTTCATGCATGCAAGGCAAGCACTCTACCACTGAGCTACCTTCCCAGCCCCTAAGGAAACTTTTTTAAACTGGGCCCTGGTGGCCCAGGCCTATAATCCTAGCTGAGGAGGCTGAGATCTGAGGATCACAGTTCAAAGCTAGCCTGGGCAGGAAAGTCCATGAGACTCTTATCTCCAATAAACCACTAGAAAATCAACAGACCAAAAAAAGAAAAAAAAAGGGTATTTTTTAAAAAGTCTAATAACTACTGATGTAAGGCTTTTTTTTTTTTTTTGCTAGTCTTGGAGCCTGAACTCTGGGCCTGGGCACTGTTCCTCAACTCTTCAACTCAAGGCTAGCACTCTACCACTTGAGCCACAGTGCCACTTCTGGCTTTTTCTGCTTATGTGGTACTGAGGAATCAAACCCAGGGCCTCATGCATGCAAGACAAGCACTGTACCACTGAGCAACCTTCCCAGCCCCATAAGTCATTTTTTTTAAAGCCATTTATTTATTTATTTAAATGAACTTGAATTGATTATTCTTATTTGTATCAGAAATCTTCTGAATCGAAAAACATCAGATATTTCAGGATCATTGGAAACATGCTCTAAAAGGGTGATCAATATTTTACATGCTTATTTGGAGGGTAAAAGTATGGCTATTCCTAGAATTTCTGGACTGTGATGAACTAAGGTCCAGGCAGAGAATCACTTTCAATAACTATAAGTCAATATTAAGTTGGATTTCTTTATGCAAACATAGATTTAAACACTGAAGAAGTCACTCTTGAATGAAAAAGTAAGTAAAGCTCTACACAAAATGTAAGAAAGCAAAGTACACTACTTCCAAGACAATACATAAACTATTTTATGAATACTCTCCTCTCCAAGAAAAGCCAAAAGTTACATGTTGTTGATGGTGCCTAATTTTCTTCTTGCCTTCTTTCCCTTTTTTTTTCTTTCCTTCCTCCTTTCTTCCATTGTATGTGTGTGTTTGTGTGTGTGTGTGTGTGTGTGTGTGTGTGTGTGTGTGTGTGTGTGTGTGTGTATATATATATATTTCCAGCTTTTTGGTAACTAACTGAAGAATCTCATGGACTTTCCTGCCTGGGCTGGCTTTAAACCACAAGACCCAGATCTCAGCCTCCTAAGTAGTTGGGCTTCTGGGCATGAGCATCTGACACCAGGCTTATTCAGCTTTTTTTATCTTTTGCTTATAGTTAGGTGCTATACAATGAGCCACACTTCCACTTCTGGCTGGTACTGGTGGCTCATTTTTGTAATCCTAGTTACTCGGGAGAAGCTTGAAGCCAGTCCTGGCAAAAGTCCACAAATCTCTTATCTCCAATTAACCAACAAAAAAACTAGAAGTAGAGCCTGTGGCTCAAGTGCTAGAGCACCAGTTTGAGCAAAAAAGGCCAAGTATAGTGTCCAGGCCCTAGGACTGACACCAAAAAATTTTTTCTCACATTAATGTTTCATATATATCCTTTTGCCAGCTCAACTGATTTACTGTGATGTGATATAAAACTAGAAACCACATTTGAGAGAACTTGACTGGGATTTAGCCAGATGGGTTCAGAGTACAGAATTCCCTGGCAAGGCTGGAGAAATTGTAAGACATCTGAACTGAAACTAGTAAGAGGGGGTAGGAGGCTGAAAACTTGAGAGCCAAAAGATCCAAACTATGAAGGACAGAGAACTGCACAGTGGAGGACTTAAGATTTGAACAGTATTGCTGTGCTTTTTTTTGGTGCCAGTACCAGTCCTGAACTCAGGGGCCTGGGCCCTGTCCCTGAGCTTTTCTGCTCAAGGCTAGTGCTCTAATGGAGCCATAGCTCCAATTCCAGCTTTTTGATAGTTAACTGGAGATAAGAGTCTTACAGACTTTCCCACCCAGGCTGACTTTGAACCAAAAGTCTCAGATCTCAGCCACCTAAATAGCTAGGATTACAAGCCTGAACCACCAATACCCACCTGTGCTAAAGATTTTTTGTATTTTTCATGTGAGGAACAAATTTATTTATTTATTTTTTATTTATTTTTCTTATTTTTTGGTCGGTCGTGGGGCTTGAACTCTGGGCCTGGGCACTGTCCCTCAGCTGTTCAGCTCAAGGCGAGCGCTCTACCACTTGAGCTACAGCGCCACTTCCGGTTTCCTGGTGGTTTATTGGAGATAGGAGTCTCATGGTCTCTCCTGCCCGGGCTGGCTTTGAACCGAGATCCTCAGATCTCAGCCTCCTGAGTAGCTAGGATTACAGGCGTGAGCCACCAGCACCCGGCGTAGGAACAAATCTATTTTAAAATTAGTTTTGGACTTTGGTCTGTGCTCTTTGCTGTTTAGCTCTACAAAGAACCATTTGGGACTGCAATATATACTAGGACTAAACGGGAAGAATTTCCCTCTATAAGTTAAATCGTCTTCTAATTTACAGATACTTAATAACATGCACTCACCCCACAAGATTTTCTAAGCCATAACACTTACATTATGTGGACTAGTTGGCTTGCCAGGTAGGTTGGATCCTCTTAGATTAGGTGGTCTCAGTAAGAACAAGATCACTGCAATAACCATCCAGGCCATCAGGATCATAGTAACACTGATGCCATTGTCACCAGAAGGTCCTGGTACTAAAGACAACAAAAATGTATGTTACAACTGTAGCCTGATCATAATACTGTCAAATAAAAATTAATTCTAATGGTTATATGCCAGCTTCATAAGTTATGTTAATTAAAAAAACTGCTAGTTGTTAAGAGAACAACCATGAAGTAATATGTATTAAATTTCCTTTCCTTCAGTAAGAAATTCTCTGTGAGCCACTAGTACCCAGCTGTATTTTTATTTTTAGAAACAGCTGAGCCAGGTGCCAGTGGCTAATGCCTGCTATCTTAGCTACAGAAGGCTGAAGGATCATGGTTCAAAGCCAGCCCAAACAGGAAAAGTCTGTGAAACATTCATCTCCAATTAACCATCAAAAAGCCAGAAGGAGAGCTGTGGCGTATGTGGTAGAGCTAGTGCTTTTGACTTGACCAAGAAAGCTCAGGGACAGAGAACAGGCCCCGAGTTTAAGACCTAGGACAGGCAAATCAAGGACAACCACAACAATAGCTGAGAAGTACGTGGCTACTTTGAACCAGGCTGGTCTCGGCTGATCCCTTCAACAGCTTACATCTGGCAAGGTACTATTACATCCCTGTTACAGGAGATAAAGAGAAGGGGGAACAAATCCCAACTTCACACAACTTGTATGTGGTAAGGCTGAAATTTAGATCAGGTGATCTCATGTCAGACCCTGAGCTCTTAATCTGTGCTATGTCATAATATTTTGACATAATCTCATTGTTAGACACACTCCTGAAAATTATTCATCCTAGGGGAATAACATTAGAAAACACAGAGATTCAAAAAGGGTTTTTTTTTTTGGGGGGGGGTCCGGTTGTGGGGCCTGAACTCTGGGCCTGGGCACTGTCCCTCAGCTCTTCAGCTCAAGGCTAGCGCTCTACCACTTGAGCCACAGCGCCACTTCCGGCTTTTTTCTTTTTGCTTATATGGTGCTCAGGAATCGAACCCAAGACCTCAAGCATGCAAGGCAAACGCTCTACCACTGAGCCACCTTCCCAGCCCTCAAAAAGGATTTTTGAGGAAGCTTGTAACTTGTTAGTAAAACTAGATTAGCTAAAGTTGGTTACATAAAACTAGATTAGCTAAAGCTGGTAAAAGATAAGTATCCTGTACACAATATCAACTCTTAAGGTGATCCTCTACTAGAAATAAAATGTGGCTCATGCCAGTAACCCTAGCTATTAGGGGTCTGGGATCTGAAGACTGCAGTTCAAAACCAGCCTGAAGAGACAAACCCAAAACACTCAGGCCCTGGGCATTGTCCTTGAGTTTCTTTCACTCAAGACCAGTGCTTTACCATTTGAGCCACAGCTCCACCTCTAGCTTTTTGGTAGTTTATTAGAGATAACAATCTCACAAACTTTTCTGCCCAAGATAGCTTTGAACCATTAGCCTGAGATCATGAGTAGCTACGATTATAGGTGTAAGCCACTCTTCCCCACCTCTAAGACACTCTTGTTACCCATCAACCACCCAAAAAACAAAAACAAAAAACAGCTGAAGTGGAACTGTGGCTCAAGCAATAGAGGGCTAGCCTTGACCAGAAAAAGCTAAGGGACGGGCTGGGAAGTTGGCTCAGTGGTAGAGCGCTTGCCTTGCATGCCTGAGGCCCTGGGTTCGATTCCTCAGCACCACATAAGAAAAAAAAAAAAACCAGAAGTGGCGCTGTGGCTCAAGTGGTAGGGCACTAGCCTTGAGCTGAAGAGCTGAGGGACAGTGCTCAGGCCCAGAGTTCAGGCCCCACAACCGGACCCAAAAAAAAAAAAAAAAAGCTAAGGGACAGTAAAAATGAACTGAGTTTAATCCCTAGTGCAGGCACGCACACATACACAAATAATACTAATAAATGCAAAACTAATTTTATAGACTAGAAGTCTAACTCCAAGGCCAATTCTAATGCTATTCATAGACTGAGTGCCTTATTATTTTTGCAAGTAAAATATTCTGAAAATTCAGAGAATTTAACCTCAGATTATAAATTTATTAATTCTTATTTCTAGCAAAATCCTTCCTTTGTAGGGCTCTACCACTTGATCCACAGTCCATACTTCTGATTTTTGTTGGTTAACTGAAGATAAAGGGCTCACAGACTTTCCTGTGTAGGCTGGCTACAAATCACAATCCTTAGACCTCAGCCTCCACCACAGCCAGGATTATAGGCATGGGCCACCAGCACCCAGCTATCTGTTCCTTTTTAATATTCTCACAGTAATACAAATGTCATTTTCCATGTCTCCTACTGGGGTCTTTCACTCGATTTCTTCTTGCATACTAGTGCCAGGAAGTCTGCTTAAAACTATATTCTGAGCTGGGTACTGGTGGCTCATGCCTGTAATCCTAGCTACTCAGGAGGCTGAGATTCCAGGACTGTGGTTCAAAGCCAGCCTGGGTAGGAAAGTCTGTGAGACTTTATCTCTAATAAACTACCAGAAAACCGGAAGTGGCACTGTGGCTCAAGTGGTAGAGCACTAGCCTTGAGCTGAAGAGCTGAGGGACAGCACCCAGGCCCAGAGTTCAAGCCCCACAACCAAATCACCCCCCCCAAAAAAAATAAAAACCAATACACTATATCCTGCAAGAGGTGGGTCAGGAGGGAAAAGCTGGGAGAAAATAAGGGAGGGGGTGATACTCGCTGAAGAGTTCAAGGGACAGTGCCCAGGCCCGGAGTTTAGGTCCATGACTGACCAAAAAGAAAAATACTCATACCTCATTTATGTAACTGTAACCCCTCTGTACATCATCTTTACAATAATTAAAAAACAAACAATTTTTGCCATGCCAGTAGCTCTGTAATCCTATTAAGGAAGCTGAGATCTGAGATAGGAGGTTCAAAACCAGCCAAAGCAGGAAAATCTAAGACTCTTTCCTGCAATTAACCACCAAAAAGACACAAGTAGAAGAGTTGCTCAAGTACAATGCTAGCTTTGAGCAAAAAAGCTAAATGGTAGTAGCCAGGCCCTGAGTTCAAGCTTCAGCACTGGTACACACAAGCACATATATACAACATCTGTTTTGCTTATGCATTAAATCATTGTTTATCAGCAAATATGTGATAGTACAAAGGGAACAAATATTAATAATGACACTGTTAGTGGGACACATGGAAGAGGAAAGAGTTGAAAGGGAAGCAGGCCCTGGGGAGTGTTGCTTTAAACTTGGATTTCCAATGGGAAAGCAGAAATACAAAGCACTGGGTTGAAGTGGAGGCTTTGCAGTAGAGTGCTGTCTAGCAAGCATGAGACCTTGAGTTCAAACTCCAGGACTTCAAAGAAGCAAAGGAAAAGACAACAGGCGCTAGGAAGGTGGCTCAGTGGTAGAGTGCTTGCCTTGCATGCATGAGGCCTTGGGTTCGATTCCTCAGCACCACATAAGCAGAAAAAGCCGGAAGTGGGGGTTAGGCTCAAGTGGTAGAGCATTGGTCCACAGCTGAAGAACTGGGGGACAGCGCCCTGGCCCAGATTTCAGGCCCCACAACCAAAAAAAAAAAGACAACAATACTGGGTGCTGGTGGCTCACGCCTGTAATCCTACCTATTCATGAGGCTGAGATCTGAGGATCATGATTTGAAACCAGCTAGGGCAGAAAAGTCCCTGTGAAACTCTAATCTCCAATTAACCAGTCAAAAACTGAAGTTGAACTGTGGCTCAAGTTTTAAAGTGCTAGACTTGAGCACAGAGAAGCTAAGGGACAACACTCAGGCTCCTGAGCTCAAGCCCCACAACTAAAAAAAAAAAAAAAGGGGGGGGGGAGTCTCAGGACCTTTCCTGTCCAGGTTGGTTTCGAACCATGATCCTCAGATCTCAGCCTCCTGAGTAGCTAGGATTACAGGTGTGTGCCTGGCTCTATAACACTCTTTATGGAGAATGAGCAAAATTATTCTATATACTTTTCTAGGGAATAAACCTCGACACACAATAGTAAGGAGAATTTAGCTCAATATAAAGAATTGTGCAACAATTAGACTTGTTAACAATAGAGCTGCAACGACATGAAATAATGAATTACATATTCAGTTACATCATCTCAACTATATGCAACACATCAGAGCAAACACAAAGGGTACAAAAGGTACAAATGCAAGTAAGCCCTTCCCTTGAACAAGTTCAAAGTCTAAAGCCAATGATAACAAGCAACTGGCACAATTTGGCCAGGGCCTTCCAGGATGACTAGGCATTTATTAGCCAGAAAACTGGTGTTGAAGGACCAGAGGTCATGGCAGAACAAGAGCAAAGCCTGGCAAGAGCTAGCTGTCAGTGGCTAATGGTTCTAATACTAGCTACTAAGGAGGCTAAGATCTGAGGATTTGAGTTCAAAGCCAGCTTAGGCAGAAACGTCTGTGAGACTTAATTCCAACTGACTAAAAACTTCAAGACTGAAGGTGTGGTAGAAGGGCCTAATGAAACAGTGAGGCCCCATGTCAATCCCTGGTCCTGGCATGCATAAAAGAAGTAAGAAGCCAAGTGCTGGCGGCTCTCATCTGTAATCCTAGCTACTGAGATCTGAGGATCACTGTTTGATGAAGCCAGCCTAGCCTGGGCAAGTGTCTCACAGATATTCCTGCCAAGGCTGGTTTTGAATCAAAATTCTCAGATCTCAGCCTCCTGAGTAGCAAGGATTATAAGCATGAGCCACCAACACCCAGCTGTGCTGTAGATTTTAGGGTAGATTATTATTACGTTTTTTTTTTGGTCAGTCATGGGGTCTGAACTCTGGGCTTGGGTACTGTCTCTCAGCTCTTCAGCTTAAGGCTAGTGCTATACCACTTGAGCCACAGCACTACTTTTGGCTTTTTCTGTTTATGTGGTACTGAGGAATCATGCATGCAAGGCAAGCACTCTACCACGAAGCTACTAGCACTCCCTGAGACTCTTATCTCCAACTAGCCACAAAAAGTGAGAAGTTGAGCTGTGGATCAAGTGGTAGAGTGCTAGCCTTGAGTACAAAAGTTCAGGGAAGCGGGGCGCTGGTGGCTCACACCTGTAATCCTAGCTACTCAGGAGGCTGA